CCCCCCACGGCGCCATACCGGGCCGAGCCCCAGCTAACAGGGACGTGCCCAAAGTGACAGGCATGAGCCCCAGGTAATGGGGACATGGCCAAGGTGACAGGGATCAGCTTCGGGTGATGGGGACGAGCCCCAGCTAACGGGGATGTGCCCAAGGTGACAGGGACAGACCCCAGCTAACGGGCACGAGCCCCAGGTAGCAGGGATGTGCCCCCAGGGACAAACAGGGACAAGCCCCAGCTTGGGATGTGCCCAAGGTAACGGGGACGAACCCCAGCTAAGGGGGACATGCCCAGGGTAATGGAGGACAAGCTCCAGGAAACGGGCACGAGCCCAAGGTCACAGAGATGTGCCCCAGGCCACTGTGTGGCCAGTGAGCTGTGGCATTGGCTCTCAAGGGGGGACTGCTCACGGACATGGCCCCTCCGGTGCTCTCCCTGGAGAGACGGCACACCGAGGCAGCGGTCGGAGCCTTCCCGAAATCCCTGTCCCCAGTGAGGAGGGGTAGCAGAGCACAACCCCCCTGAGCATTTTCAGCCTTGTGTGGTCCCACTTGTCACCCCGCGGGTGGGACAGTGGCTTCTGAACCTTCCTGCTCCCACGTGAGGGGGGTCACTGCTCACCTGGCTGCTTCGGGCTGCCGGTGGCGATCAAGGGACCGAGAGGTGCTTCTGAACCTGTCCCGGTTGTGCGTGGAGGGGGGGGAAACGCGCCACCCTCACTCTGCTGGTTTGAAATTGTCCCCTGGGTTCAGGCCGTGACACGGCTCCTTTCTGTAGGAGCTCTGGACCTGCCACTGCGTTACCCTGTGGTCTGCTTTCCCGGGGGAGCGATGGGGACTCGCGGGGGAGATATATGAGGCGGAGAAGCACCAAACTGCCTCCTGTGGTTTCAGGTGCCGGCAGCGTGCGAGGATGACGCGGCCAGTTTGCCGGAGCAGGAGTGGGGCAGCTCGGAGAGCCGGCAGAAGGAGCTCTGCAGGATGGCGATGAAGGGGAATTACGAGGCTGCGGTCTCTCTTGGTGAGGATCAGTCTCCACTCGCGTGTCGGACACGTTATCATCCCCTGGGCTGAGTCCTGCTTGCGACTGCTTGTAGGCGGCTGCGTCGTCTGAATGTTTGGTGGGGAACAAGTAGTGAGAGGTGACGCCTTTACACGTTTAAGGTTTTGTTGCCTCTCGGTTGAGGGTGACAACTGTGCTTCATGCAGCCGAAGAACACCTCGTCCTGCCAAGGCAGCAGTGCTGTCAGCGCCCTGACTTGCCCTGCCAGGCTTTGCCCCCGTGAGCCCGCGCGCTGCAGGAGGAGCAGGCGTCCGCTGGCGTCCCCGGACTCCGCACAGGGTCTGTGGGAACAGAGGCGAGCCCTCCCCGCGTGGTCAGGACAGCACGTGGTGGGGATTCCAAGTAACGTGCCCGCGCTGTGTCCAGCAACTTGCCTTCCTGCACCGTTTTTTGCCAGGACGCGGGCCGTACATACACCACCCCGCAGGGGTTTGCTGCGCACGGTCCTAAATTTCAGCACTAATTATTTTTGGCTGAAATTTTAAAGGCCGAGTGCCCAACAGTCGCTTCTTCTTGGGGTAACTGAAATAATTTGCCTGGTTTGGCTGACACCGGCCTGCTTTGCTCTGATGGTGCTGGGAAACCCGGAGCTGCTGCTCTGGGAACCCAGTACCCCTCTGGGCACCCCACGGCTCCCGCTGTGCGAGAGCAGCCCTTTACCGAGAGGAGCTGGTGCTGGTCCCAGTCCCCAGCATCAGCAGTTCCTACCGCTGCTTCCTCCTTCCCAGGGCCCGGGGACGCCAGCTCCAAACCTGCTCTGCTACCGCCGGCCGAAAACGGGGAGGATTCGGGTACGAGGACCCACGGGCTGCCGGAGAAAGGAGCGGTGTTGGGGCACCTCGATGGCGGTGAGTCACAGCGAAAGCTGAGAACGAGCACTGTCGACACGCCTGGGCTGGGCAGGGGCTGGGCCGGGTGGGCTACGCCGCTGCTGCCGCCTGCCCGCAAAGCGAGGGGGCTGGAGCCCGCCCGCAGCAGTGCCCCTCTCGCTCCCGCTGGATCGCGTCCCTGCCGAGCCGATCCTCTCCCTGCGGGGAGCGTTTCCAGTCTTGCACGAGGCCAGGAGCTGTCAGGACTTTAAGCCGTGTCATTGGGGCCTCCTTAATACTTTTAAGAGCAGATCTTTAAGCCCAGAAGAGCCCCTCCTTGCCAAAAAGAGCGGAAAAGGGGGAGAGCTGGGGCAAGGCTTAGCGCGAGGGTGGCTCTGGGGCTGTCCGCCTGCAGGCAGATGTGGCCTCCTGCTCCCGGAAGGTTTTGCTTTGATCCT